ATACACCCGCTTGTACCAATCAACGATTGTTGTATTGGGCTTTTGAGATCTTGAGAATTTAGAGTTTTTTGTAACAATTTTGAACCCACACTTTGAAATTCCTGGTTATACTTCCTATTTAATTTCATAAAATTGGGGGCGCCCGCAACCCTAATCAAAATATTGATATCCAAATAGCAATGTTAATGCACTTGCAAATATTGCGGAGTGGTTGTTATATACATCCGGGTGTACGATACACCCAAAGATATTTGTTTGCTCATTTGATGATAAAATGAGCAATAATCATCGAAATGAGCAAATAATAACCTTGAGTGCACCGTACACCCGGGTGTATATAATAATTTCTACATATTGCGTGTATACAACCAATGCGAGGCTCGTTTTTCAGGCATTGTGTTGGAAAATTTTCCAAACTAAGCTCCATTTAGAAAATATACTCCATTTTAGACGCTTGGCAAAACTATTTACCAAACTAAGCTTCCAGGGTAAAACGTCATCCAGGGTAGCATTTTACCCTGGGCCAATTTTTTTAAAAAAATTTCAGTCAGAGCAAAAACGCCAGCCTGGTTGGCGTTTTACCTTGACTGAAGTTTTAAAAAAATTTGGCCAGGGTTAAAACGCCAGTCTGGTTGGCGTTTTACTATTGTACCAAAAGCACCAACCTGGTTGGCGTTTTTACATCGGGTATTTCCCGTTCTATTTCTTTCATTGTTCTTCAAAAAAACAAAAACCCCCCCAATTCCCAAACCCTAACCCGCGCACAGTACCTCGCCCAATCCTCCATATTTGCAGCAAATTCATCACTTCCCATTGCTTAGATCTTCATCCTACTCACTAAAAATTGTTCCTCCTTCTTTCTTTAACACTTTTACGCAGTGAATTTACCGTATTTGAGGTATGTATTCAATTTAACTATGTTACTTGTTTTTGATTTTTTTTTAGAATTTATGTTTGTAATTTACAATTTATGTATTATATTGTTGTTAAAGTATACGAAATAAGTATAGCTACATAATACATTATTGTTTAATTATTGAAATTAAGTATATTTATATGTATGTTGTTTAATTTCAAATTAAGTGTATGAAGCATACATTGTTGTTCAAGTATGTAGTGTTTTTTTTGCTAAATATGTATATTTATTGTGTAATTATGTAATTTAAGTATATTTACAAACTACATTGCTGATTAATTAGGTAAATAAGTACATTGTTGAACACTACTTTGTATATACACTTAGCTTGAGGGTTTAATGGAATTATTGTGGTTTTAGTTGTGTTGTGTATTTGTGTCATCTAATATCCGTTCCGATTCTTATGTAGAACATGGCTTCACAATTGATTATATTGTTATGCCAGTGGGGGGGGGGGGGGTGAAATTCTGTGTGTTGGATCGAACGTCGAGTACAGAGGAGGAAAAATGGAACCATTGGCATTGAAACCTTGTATGACTTACAATGATTTGTTGAACAAGATTTATATCGTAACTGGTTCAAACCCAATGAATGTTGAACTGAACATTAAAATGAGGTTTGAGAGTGTCAGTGGGGTTTAATATTACCTGTTTTGAATGATGACCATTTGGAGGTTCTGAGGGGTGTCGTTGCAATGAGGTCTCTTCCCACTGATTTGTATGTGGAAATGGTGCCTATATGTACTCAACAGACTATTCTATTGACAGACAACCTACATATCTTCCCTCATACCATACAAGCTCGTTACAAATTCCCTCATACAACATTCCGTCATCTGAATATGGAATGGGATTGTTCAGTAGAATGTTACACGACGATCAATTTAACACTCCATTCAGTTCACATACTACACCTATACATGAAGGGGTGTCGGTGTCAATGTTGCAGCAACTTGGTCCATCTACATCAAACAATGACATTTCATCACCGATGCAGTTGCATAGTTACTCTCCTATGCAAGAACATGTTCAAGCAACACCATCTCAAACTTTGGTAACTAATCGTCCACCAGTCAAAGCGCATACGAAATGAAATGGATGAGACTAACCGTCCACCAATCAAATGCGGCTGTTGTCGTCACGACGGACACAAATAAGAGAACTTGTCCGTTACGAATGGGCGGTGACCGGTATATGTCTTAGTTTAATAACATGTTCTGTGTGTGTTTTCACTTATGATGTTGATGATTTCTTGTTTCACATTGTGCAATGAATAGAGATCATGGAGGGACACGATCAAGGACCGGGATCAGCTAACCCTTATATCCTGACACTTTAGGACAACCATCAGAGCCGTGACATATGGGAGCAGTCAGTTAGTTTTCATCTACCAAATCTTTAATGTTTTTGGCATTTTTTATGTTAATTTATCTAACTATGTAATTTTTTTTGTTCTACAGGTTGATCCAGCATGGTGCTTGCTTTGCAGGCACCATGTTGGCAGGGTGGTGGAAGACTGGGTTGTCGGCCCGGGTATACTATGTTACATCGATTACGTGGCTTTTGGCGGATTTCATAGGATGGCATTCACACTTATAGATCGAGCGCTAATTACTGCGCTCGTTGAGAGATGGAGACAGGAAACTCACTCCTTCCATCTACCAGTTGGGGAGGCCACCGTCACGCTCCGAGATGTGGCGATACTGACAGGACTCCCAATACGTGGTAGAGTAGTGACAAGGCCCACTATAGAGGACCCTCGTGGCCTTGTTGAGAGGGTGTTAGGGGTGAGGCCTGAGGTCGCCGATATTAGAGGCACAGGGCTGAGACACATATGGTTACGAGAGACATTTGGGGTGTTGCCACCTGATGCTGATGATGGAGTCGTTCAGAGATACGCTCGAGTGTACCTGTTCATGTTGATAGGATCGTTATTTAGTAACAAGAGTGGTAGTCACATACAGTTGATCTACCTACAACTGTTTTAAAACAGTTAGGAGCGGATACGTGACTACAACTGGGGTAGTGCGTGTCTGGCGACCTTGTATCGCCATCTATGCAGAGCATCCCAGCAAGGTAGATGGGAGATCGGTGGTCCCTTGATTGTGCTTCAGGTAGTCCCTTTATTTTTGTACCTTTTTTTTTATAACTATTACGTACTTAATGGTGACTAAACTTAACTTATGTTTTTTTATTACAGTTATGGGCTTGGGAGCACATCCACGTTGCTAGGCCAGCTAGGGCTGCTAACTATCGATAGTAGGGTGGCCATGAGGAGGAAGACGATTGGGAATATGAGGCTCCACCACTCCCTTCACCAAACCAGGCATACGGTTGCAGTTATGTATGACTTACTGTTAAGTTATCCACATACCGCTTTATTTTGCTAATAATTTTTCATGAACACTATTATTATATATAATTAGGTGGTTGGTGCGGAGACTTACTCGTGTGCATGCAGCGAGGAGTCTACCGTATTATAGAGACGCATTCAACAGACTGAGCGAGTCTCAGGTGATCAATTACACTATAAAAACTAATTTAACACCCCGTTCATTGTTTCAATAAGTAAATTATGATGTTACTAACGGCGTGTTAATGCAGATGACGTGGGATCCGTACGTCGCTGACTTAGTCGATGCCATGCTCCCATATCTTCGTGATCATCAGATGGAGTGGCGTGCCATGACAATCCTAATCTGTTTTGAGGTAGTGGAGGCTCACCTTCCCGATAGAGTCATGCGACAGTTCGGCCTTCGTCAGGCCGTCCCCGCCATGTGTGACACGAGTGTCCACTTGCACAAGACAGACTGACGAGGAAAGGGGGACGTGAGCTGGGCAGTTTAGCATGCCCCTTTCATTGACATGTGGGATCAGCGGTTGCAGCACGTCATGGATGGTGCGCCTTTCCAAGGCCGGATGGAGTATCACGATCCATACATGGTATGGTACAGGAGCATTACCCGACGCTTAATCAACCCTAACTACACCCCACCCTCAACTCATTATCAGCCAACTTTTGGAGACATTAGTGGATATGCGAGTTTTAAATGAATTTTTTTTATACCAATTTATAATTTCTGATATTATTAAATTGACTGATTGTTGACTTATGCAGGAGTTTGATATGCTTGCTATACATGATGCACTAGGAGTCTTGAGCATATCATATCCCACCATACCGCAGATAGATGAAATTCAAGAGATGATTATGACTAGCTTACAAAGACATGGTCATGGTCATCTTATTTAGAGGCGGGACCAATCACAGTAACAGTACGGTGGAGGCTCCCAACAACATTCACACCGTGAGGTAGCCCAGAGTAGTAGGGGACAGACTCACACACCCCCTACATCGTCCTCGCAGTTTGATGAAATCCCGGAGGATTTCACCGTACCCATATCTGCGCCATACTTATCACAAAAGGGACCGTCATCCAGCCAACAGACTCCTCCCCCAGATCCTTTCAGAACTGTAACTCAGTACGTTCGTCGTTGGAGACCGCGAGTTGATAGAGAGCAATTACGTCGAATAGATGAATAAGGATCTTAGAATTGCTTTTGTTAGTTTGTTGTAATCGGATTCTCTAGTACGTTGTATACAAACAAATATTATTAATATAATTGGCTTTTTTTAACTGATTTTTTTTTCATTTATCAACTTTACTATACGCATTCATGATTTTTATGGAACTGGTGGATGAAGGTTGTTAAGTTGTTGGTTGTAGGTGAACGAAGTGGTGGTTTGTGGTGGTTGGTAGCGGTGGAAGTGGTGGTTGGCTGTAGTTGCACTAGTGGTGGGAGTGGCAGCAGGCTGGCAAGAAGCCTGTAGGTTTTAGGAGCAGGCTGTTGCCTGTGGTATCTTGCAGGTTGGCGTTTTATGTTGAAGGAAAAACGGCGTTTTATGTTGAAGGAAAAACGCCACCTAGGGTAGCGTTTTATCCTTGGCAGAATTTTTTTCCAAACATTTCAGTTAGCGGGTAAAACGCTACACTAAATGACGTTTTTCCTTCAAGCTTAGTTATTATATAGTTTTACCACGCGTCTAACATGGAGTAAATTTTCTAAATGGAGCTTAGTTTGGAAAATTTTCCCATTGTGTTGGGGGTTAGGATTCTAGAACAAGTGAGTTTAGGGTCGACTCTTTTTTTACGAAGTTCCTGTATTTATAAGTTATTATATCCCTATTCCCAAGCAACTTCGTCTTCTTCGTTACAGTTCTCTTTCTCATGCAACTCACTCACAAACCTTACTTCTCTTAACAATGGCGGATCCTAAACCTACCCTTCGCTCCTCGAAACACTTCCGAATTATGGAAAATTTTAAGAATTCTGTTTTCAATGTCGCTAATTCTTAATCAATTAAACCCTTTTCTCCTTCTCAAATTGCCTTCATTGAACATCAACTCCTTTTAGCTTTTCCTGCTTTTCAAACTCCTACTCATCCTACTTATACTGCGGTATGTTCTACCATTTTTTATCCTTAATTAATTCTTTCTTGATTTTTTTAATGTTATATTTTGTGATCATTAATTAGGTTTGCATAATTACCTTTCTGTTAAATTTTGTGTGTTTTTTTTTGATATTCTTAAAAATAATTTTTGACGATTTTCTGCATTTTTTTGGGCTTAATTTTGATGTTCTGCATATTTTTTGGGTATTCCTTATTGTTATTTTGTTGAGTTTTTTAAATTTAATTTTTAGTGATCATTGATGGAGTTTACATTGTTGAAATTTCTGTTTATTTTGTGGGTTTTTTTTTTTTAAATTTTTAGTGATTATTAATTGGGTTTGCATAATTACCTTCCTGTTAAATTTTGTGGCTTTTTTTTTTTTTTTAAAAATTATTTTGCCGATTTTCTGCATTTTTTTTGGGCTTAATTTTGTTGAATTTATGCAATGTTCTGCATATTTTTTGGGTATTTCTTATGGTTATTTTGTTGATTTTTTTTTTTTTTTTAGTGATCATTGATGGAATTTGCATAGCAGAAATTTCTGTTTATTTTGTGTTTTTATTTTTTTATTTTTTATCCACTTTATTGATATTTATTTTTATTTTTTTATTTTTTTATTTTATTTCTTTGTAGATGATAGAAACTGCGGTGAAGGAGTTGGATGAAGAATATGGGTCGAATGAGGAGTCAATTTCGAAGTATATAAAGGAAAATTATGATGGTTTACCATGGGCACACAGTGTGTATTTAAGCCATCATTTGAGTAGAATATGTGAAAATGGTGAGATTGTATGCACTTCTGATAATCGGTATACCACACCAGCGTTAATCGAGGAGCGTAATTCGAGGGGTGAACAGCTGAAGCAAAGGTTGGGGAGGAGGAGGATTAAAGAGTGTGCAGTTGAGGAGGGGAATTTAGGTGGACAAAAAGTGGTTGAAGTGAGTGGAGATGTGGTAGGATTTCAAGAGGAAGACATTATGGTGTTAGGGAGGAGCAGGGTGAAGCGGAGAAGGCAGAGTTGTGTGGTTTTTGAAGAAGGTGATGAAGCTGGGGGTGGTGGAATTGTTGGAGAAGAGCACAATATTTCTAGTTGTAGCCAAAACTTGGAGGTTGATAAGTGTAATGATGCGGGAGGGCTAGAAGATGAAGATGATATAGCCTGGAGGACCAGGGTGAGCAGAAGGCTGAGTTCTGTGGTTGTTGAAGAAGATGATGAAGTTTGGGGAGCTGCGGTTGTTGGTGGAGGGCAGGATAGTATTAACAGTAGCAATAACTTGGTGGTTGGGAGGCATAATGAAGAGATGGTGCTAAAAGATGTAATTGATTTGACTGGGGAAGCTAGTGAGACGTCTGAGGAATGGGGTGGTATTGAAACAGTTGGTGAGGATCATGATCTTGTGAATGTGCCTGTGGAGCAGTTAGTTGTTGGGGACTTGAAAAGTGAATTACTGCCTACAGAATGCCAATTTGAAGTGAAATGTCAAGCCCTTCCTTTAGACGATGATGAGTGTGAAAGAAACACTGAAACAAAATTATTGGTTCCATCATCTGTGGGAGTATTGCAGGCGAAACATGAAAGTGAAGTTACAACTGAAAAGATGTCCATGGATGAGGATAAGAGTGCTGCTGAATTGGTGCTTGAACCCGTTGAGTGTGTTGAGAAGTCATCCATAAAAGATTTGGTCTTAAAGGAAAGTGAGTTTTTGATTAGGGTTGATGTTGATGAGGTGGCTGTTAAAAAAATCGGCCTTAAAGGAGAGTGAGCTAATGATTGTTCCTTTTGAGTGCAATACTCCACTAGCTGCTGTTAGTGCTGGAATAAATCCAACCTCAGTGAGAATTGATCCCGTGATTGTATGTGGTTTGCCAGTTGAGCAAGAGCAACCACAATGGAAACGATCGGTGTATCACACAAAAAAGAGGTTGAAAGCTTGCCAAAAAAAGATGAAAGTCTCTTCAAAATCTGTGCCATCTTTGCCAGCTTTAACTGTGGATCGTAATTTGCTTGATCGCAGCCAGCTACAAGAGCTTTCTTCTCAGAGAGGTTTTGAGACCAAGGTAACAGTTTTAAAATGTGTAGGAGCTAGGAGCAGCTAGGAACAGCCTTGGAATGAAGAAAGGGCTACCAAGGTAAAGGCTGATTCGCTGACTTTGCAACCTCAGGTAAAGAAATGAGGAAGGCCTCGGAAACAAAAAGAGGAAACCGAGGGAAGTGCAGTAGTTATAATGAATGCGCATCTTCAGCAAGAAGGATTGTCTGAGCTGGAAATTGATCAGAATCCCCAACTACAAACAATGCAGCCTAATAATGATGGTCCAGAAAGGCCACTGAAGCAAGTAGAAGCAAGCAAGGAGGTGATCTAGGCTCTTCAAACTTGCATTTCCAGCCGCAAGATGAGTCATCTGAATTTGCTCTTATTTCCAATTCTCTGCATAAAGTCATACTGCTAGAAACGGATGGCCAGAAACAGCCGTGGATACAAACAGATGGAGTCAAAGAAGATGCAGTAATATCTTCAAATTTGCATTTGCATCTCCAAGAAGGGTCATATGAACCTTCAGCTGGTCATTATTCTCAGCAACATACCAAAGAGATGAAAGAAGAAAACCTAGAGAGGCCATGGAAACAACTAGAAGCAGCCAACGAAGATGCAGTGGCTTCTTTAAATTTGCATGCTCATCAACAAGAAGGGTCATCTGAACCAGAAAGTGGTCAAAATTCTCAGCAACAATTCAAACAGCTTGAAAAAGATTGCCAAGGAAGGTCACCGAAACAGATAGAAGCTGCCATGAAAGATACTGCAGCTTCATTGATATTGCATCTTCAGAAACTAGCCGGGTTTTCTGAACCAGCAACTCTCACCATATCACAGCAACACATCAGTGAGAAATTGCAAAGTGAAGTTCACAGGACATCTGAAACTGGACAAACAACACCACCCTCAGATGATGAAACTTGTCAACAGCTGAAGAAGCACAAATTGCACATTGGAGTTCAGCGTCCTAAAACAAGAGCAATGACTGCCTCCTCGACAATCAGCCTGATCAGCAGCAAAAAGAGTTGCTCTGTCATGAACAAGAAGGAAGTCAAGGAGAATTTGAAGGAGGTCAGGTCCTAAGATAAGAGCAATGACAACCTCTTCCAACAATCAGCCTGATCAGCAGCAAATTGTGCAGCACCATCATGAGCATGAGAGAAGTTGTGGAAAATTTGAAGGAGTTCAGGGTCCTAAAACAAGAGCAATGACAACCTCAGACAATCAATCTGATCAGCAGCAAAATGAGTGGCACTGTCACAAACATGAGGGGAATCTAGGGAAATTTGAAGTTCAGCGTCCTAAAACGAGAGCAATGACAACCTCCTCTGACAACCAGCCTGATCAGCAGCTAAATGAGCGCAATTGTCAAAAGGCAGCAAAGATTGCTGTAGTTCCGTTGGCCTCGATAGACCAGCTGTGCTTGAGAATAAAGCGTCAATCTCTGGATAGCACTTGAACTAGTCTCGTCCACTATGCAGCCAGGTAAAATGCCATAATTTACACCTTTTATTGCAAAATGTTGAACCTTGTGATTGATAAAACTAACCCATGCCTGATTACTAGGCTCGGAATACTTTATGTGAAACTCAAACTCTACCCGAAATCACTTGATCTGAATTTGACTTGACTTGACAAAAAATATAATGATTATCTATACTATATATTAAAAGGCGTTCCTCTCCTCAGTTAGTCTTTCATTTCACGTGCTTAAAAATATGGATTGTACAAGATTTGAACCCACAACCTTAAGTTTAAAAACTAAAGTGTTAGCCACTTAAGCTATCACCATATACATGTCTTCTACCAAAATTAAATATAAATAAGGATTTCAATTATGGAATAATGCAGTAACTTGGAGCATCGCCCGGGCCTAAAAACTAGTTTTATCATTAAATCATATTGGCAATCAGGCAATGGAGCCGAATATGACCTAACCTGTAAAGTCAACCCAAAGATGATCTGACCCAAACCTGAATCAACCCAAAAGTGATCTGACCCAAACCTGAAATCAACCCAACGGTGGTCCGACCTGAACCTAATATCGACCAAAAATGATTTGACCCGAACTTGATTGCAAGTGGTTGAATTAATATCTAATTTTTGCTGAAGGACAAATCTTTCTATACTGCATTAGTAATTCTTCATGGCTGACTGCTGAATTACCTGACTAGTATGATCTTTTTTATTAAGTAAAAGACTAGTTTGTGCCTGTATAAGAAATAGTCTTAAATTTTATTGTCTAATCTAACTTTATAATTTTAAATGCATTATATAGATAATTTTGGCATAAAATTAAAAAACTTCAACTATTATAAAGAAAAAAAACTTTCAAAATTTAATTTTTTGGCTCCTTTTAGTCTTTTGTCATATTGGAATCTCTTGATTGAATTTCCTTTATTTATTTTTTCTTTTCATTTTTGTCTAGTTTTCTCTCTTGATCGTGGCTACCTTTTTTTCCATTGCACGACTGTTAATTTGTCTTGGTTTCCTTTTTCTCATGGTAGAAAATTGATTTATAATTTTTAATTATGAACATCTTGTTTGCCTAATTCAAGGTGAAAACGATTGAAATTTCCTCTTTTTCCCTTTTTTTTTGCTCATTTCTTAGTCTTCTCTCATGCTAAAATATAATTGAAATTTACTTTTTTTTTCCCTTGTCCTTTTGGTTTAATTTTCTCTCATAATCTTGTTGTCTTTATTCCCCTACATGATTATTGATTTGATCTTAGTGTAATTTTTTTTTTCCTTGAACTATTTATTTGAATTACTACCTCTGTTAATTTTTAGTTGCAACAAAGCAGTATTATTTGTGAGTCATGTAATTTCTTGTTTGAAACTAAAAATTAACGGAGGTAGTACTTTTTTTTTTGTTCATTTTTCTATCTTGATCTCCGTTTCCTTTTTTGTTCCCCCTTTTTTATTGATTGGTGCGTGATGAGTGATTGCCTTAGCCTTTGCTTAATCATCATTCACCCACACTTTGAAATAATAATATAGATTTGCATTAATTCCTAGTTTTACTATCCTTTTTGATTTTTCTGGAAAAACTCTCATTAGATTAATTGGTTCAACTTTAGTCTTATGTAATATGCATTTGGAGCTAGACACTTTAAAAATTGATCTCAGTACAAACTGAATAAAAGGAATTACAAAATGAGTAGTTCAATTTTATTTGGACACCCCTACCCTTAATTTAAAGGGTGTGGTCATGGTCGAATCCAGATAAAGATCATAACACTTTCTTCTTTTTTTGTTAATTATTTTCTTGTAAGGTTTTAAGCTGTGAGAAAACATTTTCATCTTTATGTAATTGTGAGAGAGGCCGTGGATTTTCCTTTTCAAGGATTATCATGTAAATAGACATCTTACTATCTTAGCAATTAACTTTTTAGAATGTTGCTATATATATATATATATATATATATATATATATATATATATATATATATATATATATATATTTTTTTTTTTTTTTTTGAAAGGAAAGATATTTTAGAATGCTGCTATTAGCTCAACTACGGTGGCGTAAATGTGTAGTTGCGTAGATCTTTTAGAAAAATTAGAATTGCCTCAAATGGATGCCGTAACATTAGTTATAAATTAAAGCTTAATATCCCTCAAGTTAAAGAAATATATCGAGCCCAAACCTCAACTTAGGGATCAAACATAATTATATGTGTTTCTATGTCTATTATGGTTAATCCTGCTTAGGATGATTTTTTTTCATGCTTTACGCATCAAGACTGTTTGGAGATACAATAATAATCTCTTAACTAGATGTGTTGCTGACAGTCCATCATTAACTGATTTAAAATCATCTAAATTCTGAAGTTGCTTTTTCACGCTTCTTGCCTGATGAAAGTGCCTGATTTTTTAGCCGAGGAAGGAATTCTGATGTGGTTTTTCAAAAGTCAATTGTCACCTATCCTAGTACTACAAATTTCTGTATCTGCATATCAATAGTCATTAAAGATAATCTAGTCATATACACCCAGGCTACCCAGCCTCTCAGAACATGAGTTAGTAATTGCCCTTTAATAACTATCATTCCTACTTTCTTTCCATCACTTTTATAGGGCAACTCAGGAAGTTCTTCTATGAACTGTTATTATTTCAGGATATGTGACAACTTTTTGTGGACATCCAAGATGGTGTGTTTGATTGTTATTTCTGGATGGTCTAGTGCTCTTCTAACTCATTTGGAAGCTTTTTAGATATAATCTGTAACATATATGTGATGGTTTGAAATTTGTTTTACTATACTATGTTTTCTTATGAAAACTAGCAGTCTCATGTATATGCCTAGCTCATGGAAACAAACTCAGCCGTTAAAAGGGGTGAGATTGCTTAAATCTGCCTGTCAAATATAGGCATCTAACAGTGCTTTGAAAAGGTCTGAGGGATAATATAGTATAGCATAGTTGAATACTAAACACCAGGCATGCTTGATACGGTCTTTAAGTTTGTATATAATACCTATGACACGTTTGATGTTCACTGTTAGTGGGCAAAATGTTATCATGAATGTAACTTAACTGGTTGACACCATAGATGTGTATAGATGTTTCAAAGTTCTCTGCATGCATAATTAATCTTCTATTGTCTATTGTATCTTGCAGGATGACAAAAGAGCAAAGTGTGGAAATCAAGATAATGGTGGATTCAGCTGTAATATATTCTAAAATATTTAGTGCAGGCCGGACTATCCTCTGGGTCTTGTCTGTCTTGTTGTGGTGTATGTAGGCTTTCTAAGCCACTTAGTATTTAGTAGATAATTCATTGTCTGTTAGACTGTTGTTACGTTAGCAACTTCTAACCTTGTACGATTACATGTACAGTATGCCTAATTTTCTTTAGGATAGATCAGGAGTGACCCTTGGGCTTGTTTGCCAGAAATCTTCCACTGGTGTTTGGTTAAGTTGAATGTTTGGTCCTTCGTTGTGTTTACAAGTTTTGTATGGGGATGAAGGTTGCGTGCTTTGCCTTTGTCTACGTTTGAGAAACCAAATTACTTGCACATGATATGGTAGAGCCTCAAACCTGCCAAGAATTTTCTATTCAGCAACTTATGACTCAGTTTCCAAAATAACCCCTACAACCTACTGGCATAGAGCCTTATTGTCTTTCCTCATTTCCCTATTGTTAATTTATTGTCCTACCTTACCCAAGTTGAGCGTTCTAATTCTAGAGGCACTTGTTACAGTTTGAAGACATCTTTGTTTTTCTAATGTAATGTCGTGCTACCAAATTTACCAATCAAAATCATTATAATTACAATATACATAACCTTAGTGTTTATAGGCTGATGCATAATTTCCATATCAACATTTGCTCAAGTAATAATAGAACAGATTTAAGTTAACTAATAACAGTACTTATCGGAAGGATAATGCAAATGCAAAATAGCAACATGCACTTTGTATTTAAGCAAAATAGCAAAAAGCAAATATACTAAGAGTTTGTGATACCCTGCACATGTAATAATTCTGCATTTCAGAATTAGTAGTTTTGAGACATAATTGTACAATATAACATCATAGTAAAATACTTCCAGGCAGGATTTCCTTGAGGGCATGTTATGCTTGGTGCGGAGCCAAGGTTCATTATTAGCTCATGGTATTTGTAATAGAAGTTTTCCAGTGAAGTTTTCCTCGAGGACTCTCATAGTAAACCTTTTATCCACTTCCATCGAGCTGCCCATGTGAAAGAAGATGAGCCACGTATTGCTGTCATCACAGAAGATTAGACAGTTAACACCAAGAAATTTTCTTTATAGTAACATACGGAGTACTAAAACAAGAAGAGCGTTCAATGAACTTCATAGAGTTTTTAGCAATCATACAGCTCTACCACAAGATATGTCATACCCACAAAACATTACAAATAACCATAAATGCTAGTGTATTAGAGTATATAAGCAAACTTACAGCATGGTAAGCATATGGTGATTTCCCCTGTCGCTCAAAATGTTTAGCCATAATGCAAAACTCTATTGGCCCCCAATCCTCCACCTCAAAGCAATTGCCAAGCGCGGCTTTATATAACTACAAAACAAATTTCACAAGTACTAGATAATGAAGCCTTAAAAATACACAAGTTCTCAGATGGAGAGGGACTCGACGATTATCAGTTCTAACCTTTGCAGTGTCTGTTAGCATTTCTGTCCCTGCAGGATAAGATGCGTAGAATTGATCACCTCTGGAATACCCAGCTCTCGTGCTTCAACACCAAGAACAGAGAAAGCACTATTATTCCTCATCAAATCATCAAAAGCTTATCCCACAATATAAAATTAACCAATATATAAAATTTACGTGTTGTTGGTATAAGCATAACTCAATACTGCCGCAAAACAATAAAATCCACCATAGGAGACCAGCCGTCGAAATTTCTGAATCTTCAATATTTCATAGCAAGGATCATACATTCTCATCATATGTCCACTACTCCGCCCGACTGCAAATGCACGAAAAGAAAAAAGAAAGCAGCATATGTTAGCATCATTAAGTACAGTAACCAAGCCTTATTGAAACTGTGAATATGTGATACAACATAAACATGCAAATAAACTACTAGAGCATAAGATTACAATAATATATATTTATATCTCAAGAACCCTTCAAAATTGGCAAAGCAAGAAATAAATCATAATTAGTGATTGATCAGAGCTGGGACTAGGGCCAAACAGTGACGGATCCAGGAATTCCCGTATGGTAGAGTCACAATTAGTTATCAACCACCTGTCATGAATAGGAGTGTTCAGATCCGGGTACCCGGTTTTTCGGATATCCGAAAATACGAGTACCCGCATTGTCGGGTAGTTGAAAAGCCGGCCCATAACCCGACCCGAAAAACTCGGGCACCCGAATTTCAAGGGTCGGGTCATAGGGTACCCAGATCTTTAGGTTTTTTTTTTTTTTTTTTTTTTTTTTTTATACTGCCGTCATGATTCTTATGAAACAAACACAAGGCCTAATATAATTCAATGGAAACAACAATAACACAATAAGAATAAGTAATATGTACTAGAAGTTACTAAACTTTGGCAAATGTATCACATAGGGTACTGAACTTTCATTTGTATCAAATAGAGTACTCTGACCTTGACTGGAGGTAACCTTTCCGTTGATAACCTGTTTTAGCCGGTTTATTCGAACTTTTGGAAAAAAAAAATAAAAAATTCAATTGTCAGCAAAATACCTCGGGTAAACGAAATTTCCCATATACTCAACAAAATTGGGGAAAAAACCCAAATCTCCCAAATATTAGAACAAATAACAGAATTTCATTTCTGAAATTAACCTCGAACAAATCAAACCACCTCCCAATCCCAGAAAAAAATCAATCAAAAAAACCAAAAACAACACCTTCAATTAACCTAGTGGGGAAAATCGGAAAAGCTTGTGACGATAGAGAAGCAGCAGCGGCACAACGACGGTGGACGGCGGTGATGGCGTGACGATTGGACAATGGTTGTGAATTGTGATGGCGCAAGAATCCTTAGCAGTGATTTTATAAAATTAGGTTTGAATTGAAAGAAAATTTGCAATATAACCACCGAAAACCCATTGTATCAATTCCCAACTTGAATCAAAATCCACCAGGGTACCAGCCAAAACCTTTGAGGATGATAAGCCATTAATAATAAAATTAGACTAATGGGTAAGAGAAATTTGAGTGATACACTTTCTCCGATATTTTAATATTGCAGTGTTTTAAAAAAGTTTCACAAATATTGCATCACTTTTATTTTAGGACAAAAAAAAAATCTATTCACAATGCAAATACTCAAAATAACCTTACTTTTTCACACTTACTTTTTATTTTATCTTTATATTATATGGACAATTTTGTATTTTTACGTTTCTCTCTCTTACTTTTTCCCACTACCAAATTTTACCTCCAAAACCCCTATGATGCATTAATAAAAGAACGGAGGAAGTATAAAATTTCGAATAAGTATTGGCGCATAGGCCTATATAGGCATTTTTGTAAATAATGGAAATTTGAAAAAAATCGGTGGTAGAAAATATGATGACAAAAAGTATCACTACATGCATAATAGTACGTAATAGTACACAAAAATACACCACTGTAACATTAAAAGAGAGAAAATGTACCACCGAATCTCCGATGGCCCTCCTATATGCATGCAAAATACATAGGCCCTATGCGCCTATATGCACTATTTCAGTAATAATTTGGCAATAGAGGACTTTGGTTTCAACGATAGTGAGAGAGAGAAAGAAATGAGGTTTTTTTTTTTTTTTTCAGTGGACTGGTTTCGTTATTAGGTTATCTTTTACTTTAATTTTTTAATTTTCTTTTTATTTTTTATTTTTTTGGGTGTGAAGAAAAAAGGGTGGAAAGTGGGAAGAGAGTAATGTGAGTTATATATGTAGGAGAGAGAAAGTTGCAATAGCCATTTTTGGAACAAATTGAAAGTTTCCATTAATTGTGTCAGAATTTAATTTATTTTTTATTTATTTATTTATTTTTAACCGGTTTCTGTAGGTTGAAACTTTTGTAATCTACCAAGAGTATCTTGCCTGATACGAATGAAAGTTCAGTACCTTCCCTGATACAAATGACAAAGTTTAGTATTTTGTAGTGTACATTACTCCAACAAGAATTAACAGTACCATTATAAGTAAATGCAAAGTAATTTTGTCAAACATCTAAAATACAAATATTACAACAAAAATATATAGTTTTGAAAGTGAATTTGTCAGCAAACAAATAAAATTGAAACATACAACAAGAAGGATCAAATAAATTACAATCAATTTGTTAATGGAGTACAAAGTTATTAACCTGCAACTAATACGAAAAATCTAAATAGAGGAGTTCATCATCGTCGTCGAATTCATCAACAACTTCATCATTGTCGAATTCATTTCGTTTGTTGCAGATGGAGAGCTCAAAGGAAAGTGAATTGGGGAATTGAAAATGGGGAAAAACACAAATTGCGATTTGAGAAATTGAAATCTTACTTGGGGGGAATTAGATGAGAGAGGAAGAGTGAGAAAGTGGTGATAATTCAGAGAAGAGGAAAGGAGGAGAGATTAGTCAGAGAAGAGTGAATGAGGAAAGAGAAAGTGGAGAGGGGAGGGAGTGAAGTGAGGACGGCTGCTACAAGAAAAGAAAGAAAAGAGGAGAGAGAGAAAACCCTAAGCGTTTTTTTAAAAAAACACGGGTATTAACGGGTACTCGTTAACCCAACTAACCGGCCCATGAATTGGGAATTCTAGGGGGTCGGGTACCCGACCCGTGAAATTGAAAAAAATTACCAAACTACCCGTCGGGTATTCTTCGGGTAGTTGGGTTGGGTCAAGTGACAGGCTAAAGTCGTATCTCCTAATCAAAAGAATTACAAAAGTCTTCTAACTAAAGTAAATAGGGAAGTAGGGTCGAATCCACAAGGAAACAAGTCTTTCGATTCCTAAATAATTAATATAATCTAAACTATTAAGTAACAAATTATTTTTGTGAGAATTAAACTAAGGAAAATAAATAAACTAAAGCAAATTGAATAAGGGAGGAAATCAATAAATCAAAGCTTAGGGTATAGGTTCACCAATAAATAATATTACAGGGTAAAACACAACAATCAATCATCAATGCATCAATTAATCAGGTCATAAAGGGCTTTCGCTACGTATTACAATCACAGAATTAATCTACCGGTATTAAATTGCATCTCTCAAATCTTGACTTAACCATTTATAAATTAATCTGCCTGTTGAAACTAAGCTTAAACATCAATTCTCATCTCTCGAATCTCGAATCAATATTACAAAACTTATACAATTAAACTTGGCCAAATTTAAATGCATAGCATTAAATCAATCAATAGGAAATCAATCAAATATTGACAATTAACAATAATAAACTACCCCTTCATATTATTTATGGATCCCCACAACCCTAGAAATAAAATTACTCACACACATTTAAATCTAGACTAAGCAAAGCAAATAAACAAGTCATAATTAATCAAAGCAATTAAATTACTGTAAATAAAAGGGAAAGGAATCATTACCAAAACAAATGGAAATAATGAATTGCATAAACTCAAAGTGCAGACAGAGAAAACAAGAGTATTAACTAAAAGCTTAAAAACTAAAATCTGGAAATTAACTAATGAAAATATGTCCTCCGTCACTTGCTAAACAAAACATATTTATATTTAAGCTCCAAAAATCCTGATTAAAAACGAATTAAAATTGTCGAAATTCTTCTTAGAAGTACGCGCCCGGTTGGGCGGAGCTTCGCCCGGCCAGGTTCGCCTTTTTGCTGGTGGCTTCTTCGGGGGCGCAAGACAGGGTGAAGGACACTTCTTTCTATATGTCTCGCCCGGCCGGGCGCGCCTCAGGGCGAGGGCTACCCGGAGGCGAGCTTCTAGGCAACTTGGACATCTTAATTGGGCTCTTAACTAGCCTAATCCGAATTTCCTTTTTGGTCTCTAAGAATCAGTCCAATGCCTCGAACTCTTCTTCTTCACCGAGCCCTTAATCACCGGTTTGATTGCTCCAACGCGGTCTTGGGCTACGGAATATGGTCATAATTATGCGATCCTACTCCAATGCTCGTAGTGGCTTAAATAAATCCTAGAAAAATGCTTCAAATCTGCAATTTCCCTTAAAACAATACCAAAACTACGGAAACACTCGAAAACGCATATTAGTATAAAAGTGACTCCAAAGAGCCAATAATACTCCTAAATATGACTAAGGGGCGGGGGTAAATCTCTATACAAAATGAACATATCAAACTCCCCCAAGCCAAACATTTGCTTGTCCCAAAGCAAAGAGCTCACCAATAAACAAATAAAACATACTTCACCCCAAAAATCAATTAAAACCAAGCATAACCAATTCAAGGCAATCCAACAAATATGCATCAAAGTCAACCAATCAAATCCATCCAACCACTCATCCTCCCTAACAATTGTCATGTAGAGCAAACCACAAGTGTATATGGAATTCAAGACTAGTGCTCACGAACTCTTCACTCTTTTATGTGGCGGATATAAAATGTATATGATCGTTCTTCATCCAACCCCTTTAATGTGAACAATGCCCTCCCAAACTCACAACACTCGTTTTTTTAAGAAAACAAGCACTCAACCTAGTAGTCGACTCGAAATATATCAAATCATTCTTTGCATTGATAAACAACTACTTTCACATCCATACAACACTATGCACAAAGGTCGGAAAGTCTTTAAAACTTGTAATGTAAAGCTTAGGTAAAGGGTAGGAAATATTTGGGAAAATGTGAGAGTAAAGCAATGCTTTAGGGAGCCAATCCTAATAAACCGCGGTAAAAAATAAATAATGACCAAATCATTTCCAACACAACTCAACTCTACAAAATTTCACCAAACAACCAATTCAATATTAACAATAATTCCAACACTTATAACTTCACTCATATATACAAAATATAACATTATAGAACTTGAGTACACAAACAAACTTTGAATTCTTTTTTTTTTTCTTTTTCTTTTGATTTTTTTCTTTCTTTTGAGTAACCCTCACTTAAAACATTTGAACATTGAAACAATTTATCCTCTTTTGCTCTTTTTTTTTTCCTTTTATCTCACATTGAAATTTTTTCAACTTTGAACAACTATTAACTTTTTTCCAATCCACAAAATAAGAACAAACAAATAACTTCTCAAATCCACCCAAATTGTGGAAATTATGTGCACACTACAATTCCCTCACCTCACTCACTATTAGCTCCCCCAACCCAAGCTTGGGACTAGTAATCAATGGGGCTTAAATAGGCTTGTAATGTGGCTAAATAAACAATAAAAGGGCACAAGCAACAACATGGGTAGCAAGAAGGGAACAAATGTATCTAATGTCTTCTGAAGGCCACCTAAAAGAACAAATGCCTTCGTCCTCCTCATTGTGCATAATAATGAGTCATATAAACATTACCCATAGTTAAAAACCAATACTCAACTTCATTGATATACCAGGAGTTCCTCACCAAATCAACTAGTCAAACACTATATTCACAAGAAGTTGGGCAATATTGACTCATGTTAAAGTTTCAAGGCAATCAAACATCAAATCATAACCGAATAATCTACAATGTCCATCATCAACAACCAAGAATCAAAATAATTTCATAAAATTTTAATCAAAGGGGCACAGGGAAGCATGATTTATTATTCATTGGAACGTATTTTTGTATTTTTTTATATTTTTTTTGAAAGCAATAAAAACTAACATAAAAAGCAATAAAATCTATACTAATAAAGCAATAAATCTAAACTAAGAACACCAAAGAAAATAAAAAGAGAAGGGAAAGAAAAAGTACCTAAATATGTATAAGAAATCCCCCCCAAGCTAAATCAGACAATGCCCTCATTGGCTTAAAGGGAAGCTAGTAATCCAAGCGACTACCCCTCGTCATCAAACTCGTAGCCACCACCATCCCAAGCATCACAATTCATCACTTTGGTACAATTCTGGACAAAAAAGAAACAAAGTGTTAGTAGGAAAAGAGGCAAAAACAAGTCAGGTTCCCTATTTCGCTCACAAATTTTTTTATACAAATGATAATGCAGTAATTCTAATTGCATTGGAAAGTAGACTTGAAGAGCTTTCCAAAGATAGGTCACACGCAAAATTTCGTTTAGAAACACAAAAGATATGGCGTCTTGAAGTTGG